ATACACTTGACACACTATATGTATACATAATGTAAGCCATCGCGCGTATGTTCAAAAAAAAATTCTAACTGAACTAATCCAAGGCTAAAAAAATTGAACTAAATTGAGAAAATGTAATCATAAAGGAGTCAACGGGTATATGAAGGGAAAAAATCCATTTTGATGCGTGGTAAACACAATTCATCATAGAAATAATATAGGGAATTGAAAATAAGCCCTAATAAATTCGTTTTACATATTTTGCAACTATGAGCTCAAAAGAGATTCGTATCGTCTTAACATCAAGAATGCGTTGCGTGAAAGAAAATAAGAAGACGGAACCCATGTTTTCTGAACTAACCGAGGTAAACTCAAATATTTTTTCAATTAAATTCAAAACATATTTATTATATATTATTACAAAACAGTCATGATGTTTATCATTTTATGTTAAATATGAAAGATTACAAAATATGTATCTAAATATTGATTATTTGTTATTACAAAATAAAATAACAAATAATAGAACAATATTATTGCATTAAAAGTTATTAATAATAGTTGTGACACTTTATTTGCACTTAATCTTCAGAGTTTTTCATAAATTGCCCCTACCTTCTGTAGAAAATATCCGCTCAACATCTGGTTTAACAATTGTCTCCGATGAAGATCACTAAACAAGTAGGTAGTAATATTTTACCAGTTCGGAACTTTGAATCGTATAATACAATGCAAATGGACATCATCAGGGCAGCATCTGGGCTACAGACGAAGAGAGTAAAACATAGGGAATCGGTACCGGGATTCTATCGATACGATTTAATTTAATTTAATCTTTTCTTGATATGAATTTTCGTCCACAATTAATCAGGCGATTTAAAATAGTTCCAACAGTTTTTCAAAAATTTTATTGTAGTGGATCTTAGGCACAATTTTGTTGCACAACATCGATTGTTAGTTCTTAAAACAATATTTAACAGTACACGGCAATGTGCAATCACATTTGCAATTATAAATACCCGGTCGTTTGAAGATGATTTTCAAAAGTTTGTAATACATTTTTCTGCAAATTGAAGGACGATCCGCATTTCTTTTGCACTTCAACTGCTTAGTGTGTATAATTGTGTGTGTACTTTAATTGGAAATTTAAAAGAAGGCGAAACTCGAACAGGCATTTAGTACATGAGCACGCTTAACCTAGTATGTGCAGTATCTGCAGCTTCTCCCTTGATAATTTGTTGATTCATTGATATCAGCGTTATAAAATAAACTGCACCAAACACAATAATATCACACTCAA